AGTTACTCAATCCCACTGGAGCCACTGTGCTACCACTGACAGGACACCCCATGCAAAGTTGCATATTTAATTCAATTCAGTTCAACTCAATTTTATTTGTATAGCACTTTTAACAATGGACATTGTCACAAAGCAGCTTTACAGAAATAAATGGATTAAAAAAATATATTGTAAATATGTGAATTTATCCTAATGAGCAAGCCAGAGGCAACGGTGGCAAGGAAAAACTCCCTGAGACAATATGAGGAAGAAACCTTGAGAGGAACTAGGCTCAAAAAGGAATCCATCCTCATCTGGGTGCAACGGATAGTGCAATTATAAATAAATCCCTTCAATTATTGTGTACTATATGGACAAATAGTGCAAATGTGCAACCAGTAAATTCATCACAGTTTTCGCAAGAAGTCCGGTTGGTTAAAATCTATCCACTGTCCACTGATGGAGTCCTGAGTACGAAGGTGCTTGTGGCAACTGCAGCCCCAAAGCCACCACAGCAATCGCAGTCTCAAGCCATTACAGTACAGCTCCCCATATGTACAGCATCCAAACATCCCAGTTAACCACAACACTCAATGCCTGTGAACCCTCCAGACCTGCTCCTTAGCCTAAGAAAAAACTATTCACAAAAGACTTGACTAAACAAATATGTTTTCAGCCTAGACTTAAACACTGAGACTATGTCTGAGCCCCAAACACTAAGTGGAAAGCTGTTCCATAACTTTGGGGCTTTGTAAGAGAAAGCTCTACTCCCAACTGTAGCCCTCTCTATTCGAGGTACCACCAAATATCCTGCACCTAAGTAGGCGTGGCAGATCATAAAAGATCAAAAGTTCGCTCAGGTACTGTGGCGCAAGACCATTTAGTGCTTTATAGGTCAATAGTAGTATTTTATAATCAATACGAAATTTGATTGGGAGCCAATGCAGTGTGAATAACATAGGGGTGATGTGGTCATATCTTCTGGTTCTAGTAAGGACTCTCGCTGCTGCATTCTGGACTAACTGGAGCTTGTTTATGCATCTACTGACAGTAAGGCATTACAATAATCCAACCTAGAGGTAACAAAAGCATGAACTAATTTTTCTGCATCATGTAGTGACAATATATTTCTTATTTTAGCAATATTTCTGAGATGAAAGAAAACGATCCTAGTGATATTATCTACATGAGCTTCAAATGAAAGACTAGAGTCGATAATCACTCCAAGGTCTTTTACTGCTGCACATCATGAAACAGAAAGGCCATGCAGAGTTATGTAATCAGAAAGCTTACTTCTAGCTGCATGTGGTCCTAGTACAAGTACTTCTGTCTTGCCAGAAAGTTATAAGCATCCAGTTTCTTATGTCTTTTACACATTCCTCAACTTTATTGAGCAGGTGTCTGTCATCTGGCTTTGCTGACACATACAACTGTGTGTCATCAGCGTAACAGTGGAAACTAATACCATGTTTACAAATAATTTGGCCCAGAGGTAGTATGTATAAAGAAAAGAGCAGTGGGCCTAAAACAGAGCCTGGTGGGACACCAAACTTTACCTTAGTATGCGAAGAGGAGTCACCATTTACGTCTACAAACTGATAATGATCAGTCAAATAAGACCTGAGCCGGGAAAGGGCTGTTCCCTTAATGCCTACTACATTTTCTATTCTATCGGGGAGAATAGCATGATCAATGGTGTCAAAAGCTGCACTAAGGTCAAGCAGCACAAGCAAGGAGACACAACCCTGATCAGAGGCCAGTAGTAAGTCATTTACCACTTTAACCAGTGCTTTCTCTGTGCTATGATGAGGCCTAAATCCTGACTGATACATTTCATGAATGTTATTCCTATGTAAGTATGAGCATAGCTGCTGTGCTACAACCATTTCTAGGATCTTGGAGATAAAGGGGAGGTTTGATATTGGTCTATAGTTAGACAGCTGACAGGGGTCAAGGTCAGGTTTTTTAATCAAGGGCTTGATAACTGCTAGTTTATAAGATTTAGGTACATAGCCATTGCTAAGGGAAGAACTGATTATCTTTAAAAGAGGTTTGATTGTTTCAGGAATTATCTGTTTGAAGAAACAAGTAGGTAAAGGATCTAGTATACAGGTGATTGATTTTGATGATGAAATTAGTTAAACTAGTTCGGTCTAGCAACGCAGAGTACATGTCCCATAAACACAAAAATCCTGAAATTCTGTGCTGGTGAACTGCGGAGCATTGTCAGTGAAGAGCTTGTGTGGCACTACAGGGACAGCAAAGTGCCATTTGAGCTTTGCATCACTGTGGCAGTGGTGAGGTTAGTGGTCAATTATAAAACAAGCCAGACCACAACATTGTTTCTCTAACCCTGGATTTTGTGGCTTTCATGCCAGGATGCTACTGGTGAAATTGAAATTAAAATATGCGCTCAAACTCACAACAAACATTTTGCTCAGAACACTGTATCTAAGAAAAGCAGATTATCTTTTTATCTTACTATTACAGATTATTTTACTGTTTAAACAACATAACACAAATATGCCACCACCAGCACTTGGACACTACAACTTACCCTACATGTGACTGATTTAGATAAAGTTAAATAAATTTAGTTTATAGGTTACATTTCATTTCATCACTCTTTGGCACACCAAGCGCACACTGTAGCAGGCTATGGCATGGTTTAGCATGGGTCTGCAATGGGATGCAGGTGTTTGGGACAAGCTAGGGTGGTAGCTATTGTGGCACACCTGAGACTTGTTGTCTGACATATATTTATGTGGTCTCGCTTTCTCTCTTTCCATGAACAGAGAGCTGAGCTTGTGCACTGTTGTGCAATAAGTGAGCTGGAAAAAAGGTTTTGGCAGAAGCTCATATGCGCTGGGTCTGTTGTGTTCTCTGAGCAGTTCCCTTGCTGATATTGTTACACACACTTATGCTACAATAGCGCTGAAAACACTTTAGTGGGTGCTTCTAATTTTTATTAGTACTGGTGTTCCTTGTTTTCTGATATGGGAGCACTGGTGCTACATGACAAAATCTGATTTTGAGCCTTGCACTGAAATAATTTAGCAGCATAATTTAGTGTTTTATCAAAGAACGTATTGAAAATACTTATATTGAAAGTATTTTGCAGACAGACAGCACCCAGTCCATGTGAAGCATCAGCATATAACACCACTATTTACAATTTATTTTGGTTTAATTTAATTTGAATGTATTTATTTCTGTAAAGCTCCTTCGTGACAATGTCCATTGTTAAAAGCACTATACAAATAAAATTTATTTGAATTGAATTGAACCACAGAGTGGTGTAAATTAAGGTTACACAGCAGTGGCAGTCTTTGTCAGAAGCTTCTTCAGCTTAAATAAGTGCAGCAGTCTTTGCAGGATCAGGCCTAACATTTTTGATTATAGAGACCATGCCCCATGTAAGGACCTTACGTCTGGATTGAGCTTGAGCCCAGTCCTCTTATTCTCTCTATGACATGATATACTGTAGGTGCTGATTGTATTCATGAACAGTACGTCCTCAGGTGTGGAGGTCATCAACTATTGCACAGATTAGCCCAGCAAACATCTGCTCTATACACCTCTGGAACACTTCATTAACTGTTGAATTGATTTAGAAGCCTAGGCTGAAACCACCCCTAAGGGTTCTTGTATATTTATTCTGATCAGCACAACCTGAAAGCTCCATGTTTTACAACTACATGCATTAATGTACATGCAAATATACAATGAAATATGTAGAATGGATATAAAAAAGTCTACACACCCCTGCTAAAATGGCTGGTTTTTGTGATGAAAAAAATTAAACCAAGATAAATCATGTCAGAGTTTTTTCCACTCTCAGTGTGAAATTACAATGTATAACAATTCAGTTAAAAAAACAATCAGAAAAATAGGAAAAACACTTACAAAACACACAAAAACCTTGTTGTATAAGTGTGCACACCCCTAAAGTAATACTTTGTTGAAGCACTTTTTGATATTATTACACCACTTAGACTTTTTGGGTATGAGGCTATCAGCATGGCACATTTTGACTTGGCAATATTTTCCCACTCTTTCGTGCAAAAACATTCTACAGTATATCCTTCAAATTGTGAGGACATCTCCTGTGCACAGCCTCAGATTTTTAGTTGGACTCAGGTCTGGGCTCTGGTTTGTCCATTCAGAAAGCCATTCCTTTGTTGATTTTTAATGTATGCTTTGGTTCATTGATACACTGAAAGGTGAAATTCCTTTTCATCATCAGCTTACTAGCAGATTTTGTGAGACACAGCTTCTGTCTAGCCACCCTACCCCATAACCCAGACATGTGAACAATACGAGAGATTATCAGAAATGTCTGCAGCTCCTTTAATGTTGCTATAGGTCTCTTGGCAGCCTCCCTGGAAAGTTTTTGTCTTGTTCTCTTGCAAATTTTTGGAGGGACGTCCTGTAATGTCACTGTGGTGCTCCATTTTCTCCACTTGATGATGGCCGTCAAGATGTTCCATGGTACATCTAATGTTTTGGAAATTCTTTTATACTCCTCTCCTCATCAGTTCCTTTCCTTACATGCTTTGTAAGCTCTTTGAGGGCCATGGCTTCAGCAGTCAGATGAAACCAAGAAGATATCAAGAAAATTCTACTGAAACAGTTGGCCTTTATTTGGGCTTAATCAGAATAATTTCATGATGACAGCTGTATAATAGTTATTTTTGAAAAGAGCAAATGATTGGTTCATTCTGAACACATCTACATCCCCAATTACTGGGGATAAACGGTTGCACTTAGCAAACTGGTTAATGTAACTACTTATTTTTCCTATTTTTCCCTAAAATAATTGTATTTCCGCTTTTTTAAATATGTTGTAATTTCACAACAAGGGTGGAAAAAGTTCTGATGTGATTTATCTTGGTTTAATTTTTTTTCATCACAAAAACCTGTCATTTTAACAGGGGTGTGTAGACATTTTAGATCCACTGTAGCTCTGTAGGTAGGAACACAAGCACTTCTTATGTAACTTCTTATGTAACTTCTTATGGGGCAGTCGTGGCCTAATGGTTAGAGAGTTGGACTTGTAACCTGAAGGTCGTGGGTTTGAGTCTCATGTTTGGCAGGGATTGTAGGTGGGGGGAGTGAATGACCAGTGCTCTCTTTCACCTTCAATACCATGGCTGAGGTGAGACCCTTGAGCACCGTACCCCCGGGTGCTTCAGCAAAAAAGGCTGCCTACTGCTTTGTGTGTGTGTTCACTACTGTGTGTGCACTTGGATGGGTTAAATGCAGAGCATAAATTCCGAGTATGGGTCACCATATTGGCTACAGTTCACTTCACTTCACTAACTAACTGTAGAGAGGTTGCACACAAAAATTATTTCACAGACAGGTATTTAGCATAGTTGTATTAAAAGAAATAAATCTGAACTAACTCTAAATCACTTTTGGTGTCAGGTATAGAAATAGTCTTTAGATTTTGCATAATTTAGATATAAATAATCTGATTGCAAGACAAAAATTAACATTATGTCAGGTGTAAATTGGAGTATAAATTATATCTCCAAAGAGGCAGGTCTAAATGAAGTTTAATTCTGTCAAAAGAGAGACCTGGATTATGTGAATTATATCAGGAAAGATCAAGGGCACCACCAGCCAGACAAATACTCACTGACAGGGTAACCCTTTCAATGTGTAACCCTTACAAGGATTTGGATGACATTAGGTTTTGCATTCCTTTCAGGCTGCATGAACACAGTGGAGATCATTTTACATTTGCTTCCATCTGTGTTTCATCTCAGCCAATAATATGTAAAAACTGAATACTGAATCTATATTTTTAATTGTCTTAAAGACATTAAAGAAGGCTTGTGGTTGAAATGATTATCTAAGACAAATGTAAATAGTGAAAGTAATTCCCATGTACAGTGAGGGAAATATATTTTCTGGTAACACTTTACAGTAACAGTACATGAATAATCATGCACTAATACCTGAATTAATACTTACTTAAATTTGAACTAATGATGAGTTAAGCCATGTACTAATCACAAACTAATGAAGATCTAACCTTAACTACGACGTGAGTCATGAATTCATGCGTGAATAATGATCACCTCAAGTACGTTAGTACATGTATGTTAGTTAAGGTATTAATTAACATGTAGGGGTAAACTAAATCAAACATGCTCTATAAGAAAGAATATGAATTAAACATGCATAATTTCAAATTGTTTATATAATTTGCCATATGCAGCTGTGTGCACAAACATCATTGATTGGTGGTGGATTACTTTCATAATTTACATTGAATGTAGATGTCAATCCTTATAGAATGCAGAAAGATGCAAAGGAGCAGTGCCCCAGGCCCTAGCCACCCAGAGCACGTACTAGTACTACAGTGGGATTTGATGAAAAATGGATGGAGAATGACACAAAACAGGTTGAGATGAAATTATTGGTGTTTATTATTAGTGTGTCTTTTCTGACACTTTAGTTTGTTATATAATATACTTCCAATGCATATATCCACTTCAAATTTATAATGTCCTTTAACTTGTACTTATAAATATGAATGAAGAACATGTATTCATAAGCATAAACAAAGTTATGTTTAAATTAATACAGAAATTAATAGTTGAAATTAATAGCGGAAAAAAATTAGACACCACAAATGACCAACACTAATATTATAGCTTTGAGATATCTACAGTAAGAAGTAATTAGCTTTTTGCAGAATTGTGGTACAACTCATTCCTCTTTACAAATCATCTTCAGTTACCCAAGGCTAAGAGGGTCCCAAATATGGACTCACAATTTCAAAATCCCCCATAATTTTAATGGGATTCAAGTCAGATGATTGGGTAGGCCATGCAAGGCCTACTTGAGTTATTTTAGCTGTATCTTTGGGGTCATTGTCTTGTTGAAACATCCATGTTCACCCCAGATTCAATTTCTTGGCCAATGAGATTAAATTCTCCTTTGATATGTCCCAGTACATCATGTTTCCATTCATGTTTCCTTCGATGACATGAAGCAGCGCCATATCATGATGCTCCAACATCTATACTTTACTGTGGATATGGTGTTCTTGGGATCACACACAAACTCTTTTATATCCAAACATGAGCTGATTTATTGCCAAAGAGTTTGATCTGACCAGATTACATTGTTCCAAAAGTGGATTTGAAAAGTGGATGCACTGGATGTATATCTAAAAAAAAAAAAAAAAAAAAAAAAAA